CTAGTACACGTGATGATGCATTTTCGTCATAGGCCGTGTTTAGTTGTTTGGTTAAATTTTTTTAACGTATACGGACACACATTTCAAGTATTAAATATAGACAAATAACAAAATAAATTACAGATTCTATCTGTAAACCGCGAGATGAATCTATTAAGCCTAAGTAATTCGTCATTAGCAAATGTTTATTGTAGTACCATATTGTCAAATCATGGTGTAATTAGGCACAAAAGATTCGTCTTGCAATTTACATGTGACTGTGTAATTGGTTTTTTTCGTCCACATTTAATGCTCTATGCATGTGTCTAAATATTTAATGTGACGGAATTTTTTAAAGTTTGAAGGGAACTAAACACGGCCATAGAAATAGGCAACAATAGTATAGATCCCAAATTTAAGTATGCGAAAACAATTTAAAGGAGGCATTTTGTCAGGTGTTTAGTTTGACTGTGTTTGTTTGTTCGGTTTTAGTTCGGTTGTGTGTGTTTGTCCAGCATTTGTTTATCCACATCAGTGTGCGTATGTATATCCTGATATCGGATAATTAAATCCACCAATTTATTATTTTTATTATATTATTATTTCAATTTTTAATTAATTCATATTGTGTTCTATTTGGACTTTTTAATTTGAATTTCATATATTTTGAATTGTAGCTCTACTTAGACTCCTTTCTTTTTCTCCAACTAATGTTAAAATTTCTAGTCTGTGGAAGTAAACATATATTTTTGCTTCATTTAAAAAGTGCTTCCTGTGTTTGTGTATATACTGTAGATCCTCCCAACTTATGATTTGTCGACTACAGATAATTCTAGTTCTCTTCTTTCGTGTGTATCTTTTAACCCGATCGATTTGCACTACGCATATCTACATCAATGTGAGCGCTTAACTTCAGTGTGAAACCTTGCTTCCTAGGTGTGTACATCTTCAGTTCTTCTTTTCCCTTACGACGCGGATATGCCTGGCTTTGTACGTCCCATTATATAGGATCCACAAGTCCATATCTATACTGTCAGTACATCACAAAGTGTGAACATCCAGGTATGGACAAACTTAATTAATAATTCTTCCTTATCATGGCAATGCTCTTTCTCACATATGGCCATCCGTTTCGATTAATCGTGCCCTTCCAAAGAAGCCAATGTTACAAGAGTCAAGTCAATATCCGTATGTATACATGTCACATAAGTAAGAATGGACTATAATTTAGTTTTTACTCGTTGATGTTACAGAGTCTTTATATTTTCAGCCATTTGCAAATTCACCCAGCAATCCTCGACTCGACCGTATAATACCTCAACAACGTTGGCTTGTTTTGATCTTGCCCTTCTAAACAAGCCAACGTTATAAGAGTCAAGTCAATGTCCGTATGTACGTGTCCACATTAGTAAAAATGGACTAATTTAGCTTTTACTCGTAGATGTTACCGTGTCTTTATATTTTTAGCTATATGCAAATTCACCCAACAATACTCAACTATGTATGCATCAACAACATTGGCTTGTTTCGATCTTTCCCTTAGAAACAAGCCAATGTTACAAGAGTCAAGTCAATTAATGTCCGTATGTACACGTGTCACATTAGTAAGAACGGACTAATTTAGTTTTTACTTGTTGACGTTACAAAGTCTTTATATTTTCAACTATATGCAAATTCACCCAGCAGTCCTCAACCATATAATACCTCAACAATGTTGGCTTGCTTCGATCGTGCACTTCGAAACAAGCCAACATTACAAGAGTCAAGTCAATGTTCATATGTACATGTGTCACATTAGTAAGAACAGACTAATTTGGCTTTTACTCCTTGACGTTACAGACTCTTTATATTTTCAGCTATATGCAAATTCAACCAGCAATCCTCAACTGTGTAATACCTTAAGAATGTCTAGTCAATTTACAAGTTCAGTTCTGAATTCTTTTAATTTATGTACAAAACTGTCAGAATTTTTACCAATTTTCTATTATAACTAGGAAGACAACCTGCACAAATGCGCAGCCATGTATGTTAAGGTTAGTTTGGGAGACTTATACTATCAACTGGATTATTTGTTTCCATGCTTCAAATTAATATTTGTGTAAAATACTTTCTTAATCGGTACTTGTTTAAGTAACTTTTTCCAAGCTATTTGTTAGATGTATTCTATGCGTATAATTCATTTTATAAGCAGTTATGTATGATCCACTTCATCATCCGAAATAAAGGTAGACTTACTTTGTTCCGAAAATAGGTAAATGTAAATTAAAAGTAAGATGTTTTTCCCTTTTTCATAGAATGTTTTGGGGATCTATCTTTTTTTTAAGAAATCTCAAAACACTATCATTGCTAATATTTATGTTTTATTTGCAGCATCAAGTTATTTCTCCCTAATTCTTTCATATTATTGTAATTTGAAATATACTCACGTGTAAATTAAAAAAGAATAAGAGATATGCATATCTAGACCCTACTTCCTACGATACGTGCGACCCATATTATTTTTTAAGAAAAAACATAGTTAACATCAAGTTTAATATGACTTTTCAACCAATTATATATTGTTATATAAGTGACCTATATACATGCAAGATGTGGAGAAACTCATTTGCCGCTGTATATGATAGAGGGAAAACCATTAGCATCTATAAGCACTTAAAAATGATGCAATGGTTATAGTTACAGGTGTTCTAATTTTTGTGGAAAGGAAAACTAAATTTTTCTGAGACTATAAGATCTTTTTGGAATTGGTTCACTTTGCTTCCTATTGGTATTTTCTATTTTATTTTATATAAGTTAATATATTCAAATTTTGTGCTGGAAGCAAACAAATTAAGCAACAAATTTATGAATTCACCACGTATTTCCTCCGTCTAAAAAAAATCAATCTAATATTTCCAAGCTAGTACAATAAATCAGGAGAAATTTATCCAGATTCCTTATACTAGGAAATATTACATTCAATACTAGAATTATTTTCTGTTGGACAGAGAAAGTATATATCAGCTACAGTTAGAGCCCACATGTCTAAAATAAAATATGCCCATTATTAATCGTCTTAATTGGATGATTTTCCGCTAATAGGCCGATAAGTCGACGGATTAGCCGGCTGTTTAATGCGTTCGCCGGATAAAAAACCGACCCCGAACTACATCTTGTGTGCTGTTCTCGTTATGCATGCACTACTACAAATATCGTTTTTGCATGTGGCCAAAAGTAATCATATGCGCGTGCGGACGGGTGCCCCGCATGCACCAAGTTGTCTGCAAAATGGGATGCGGGTAGAGCAACTGCACGTGAAAATTAGATTTTCACGTGCGGGCGCTTAAGCCGTCCGCACACGAAAATAGAACATCGCAAAAAAATAAAAATCCAGAATTCAAAACCGTAGTCTCAGAACCCCTAATCCAGAAGCCACTGCCGGCCATCATCGTTGCACCACCCGCCATCGCCATCGCCATCGTTGCCCCTCCCACCGCTACCACCGTCATCCCCGCGGTCGTCAGCAACGGATCCTCTTGCTTGAGCCCAGTGGCGGTGCATCCGGCCATCATCAATGCCGCCGATGTTGCTCCCGCCGCCGCCACTGTCATTGTTGTTGTCCGTCCTACTATCGTCGCCGCGGTTGTCGGCAACGGATCCGCACGCTTGAGTCTGGCGGTTGTAGACCCGGCCCTCTTGATGCCATCGACGTTGCTCCCGCCACCGTCGTTGCCCGGAAACTGTTGCTGCCCTCGCTGATGCTGCCATCGTCCGAGACTATTGTTGCCCTCGTCGGCGCCGCCGATGCCGCTCTGGCTGTCGCCTGAGATCGCCATCGCCGTCGCCAGGATTGGGTAGGTGTGGGAGGTGAGGAGTTGGGTAAATGGGGAGAGGGAGTTTGAGGCGATGAGAGGAGTAGGTAGAGGGGGAGAGGGAGTGGGAGGATTGAGCAGGTAGTGGGGAGAAAAAAATGGAGTTGGGAGAAAAGAGGGAGAGATGCCAGTGTGGGAGAAAGATGCTCGCACATAGCTAATTTCGCATGTGGTTGGTCACTTAACAGGCCCATGAACCGATCACAGGGAAGCGATTTTTGCAGAGTACAGTAGTTATAGCCTTCTTGCAATCTAAAGGGGGGTTTGGTCAGAAAAATTAATTATGTAGTAGTGATGCATACTTTTTATGTTTTTTTTTATCCAAGGAGTAAAATAATAGACTATCGATTTAAGTAGAGATTGTTGTTTCAGAATTTATAGGTTTTTTCTCTAATTTATTATAACGTCACATGACGATTTAGAAGTGTTTGTATGCCTACCACATGGCAGCTTGGAAACATTTGCAGGAAGTTTAATGTACTTTTACTATATAATATATATACAAAACATAATTATTTAATTTCATTAAAATATTTTTTGAGACTAATCAATACGTCATGTTCTAGTGTGTTTGTACAAAACATTTTTAAAAATTATTGATAGACAAAGTTTTAATTGTTTGACTCTAACCTTATCGAAAAAATAATAATTATGAACCAGAGAGAGTAGCAATTTGGCTATGTTATTTCCATGTGCCCCGAAACACATATTACTTCTACACAACAATTATACACAACAATTATAGACTGAGTTAATTATAACGACACTTATATGCATATATAACATTTTGGGGGAGAACATATATCAACATTTATTTCATGTTACTCCAATCCGAATTCGTACGGTACCGTACGTACGTAGGATCAAAATATGAGGTAGGCATATATCTATCCATCTATACCTACCTATCTACTATCTATCTATCTATATAGCACACACATTTTAATTGGACACTTTCTACGAGTTTTCATATTAACTGGAGAAATCTAACCATTGATCAAATCAAATTTACTATCTGGCTGTACGTACAAATCTAATGTGGTGGGCTAATTTGCCTTCTAATTTTGTGGGCTCTTTCAGCCCATCTATTTTTTTTCTCTACAACATATATCAGCAGTAATCGAGAGAGATACAGATCTTCTGCAGCTTACCTTTTCTTTTACCAATGACATGGTTCAAGATGTTGACAATGCGAAGGAAGCGTCCAAAGTCAAGGTCAGGATAATCAGACTTTGGGATGGCATAAATCCCAACAGACGTGATACTTATTAATAAAAGGTCGGTATAAATATTCCTCTTGCAAATAATGTTGGTATTTATGGGTATCCCCAGAGAGCACTCACATTTACTATAAACGTTAACTAAAAGATCTGTAGTTTATTAGGTCAATCGTATTACCATGACCATTGATCAATCAAAGAATTTGTGTTAAAACCAAGATTAATTGTGCACTTCTGGGATGCTAAAGATCTTACCACAGTTGATTAGGTGGTTCGCATTCCTATGATATTCGATCTATATATATGAATTCGTGTAAATTAAAATATGTCACAAAAAGTAACATGGGCTCTTTAGTTTTATTTTTACAAAATTAATAATTCTGAAATCAGACATCATAGTGATCACAGAGTTTCACCTTTCTTGACTCCCAATTTAGAAATTTGTTAATTTAATTACATTTTTTAAATTCATAATTAGTAAGTTGAAACTTATGTGAACTCCAAACCATACAACTAAAATATATTATTTACTATTTTCATAATTATTAAATCATAAAAGTTACAATTGGGACTTCAATCATGAACAATCTATAACCGTGGCTCTAGACCGAGTACAATTTCATATTTTATTTACAAATTTTGAAATTATTGAATCATAAGTTTCTTTACAATTGAAAGTATAAAGCATGTATAATTATGTACTTTTAAAGATTCCAACTTGAAAATGTATAACTTTCAAGAAAATTTGATGACCAACATATTCATCACAGGATTACATTTTTAATATTTATGTTGTTAATAACTATAGCCCATGCAACGCACGGGTTAGCGACCAGTATTATTAAGGATGTGACTAGGTAGTGCACGGTAGTGCTTTAGTCCTAACCGCAGACCACTCCATCTCATATATGAATCCCCTTTAGTCTGTGGTGCATATCTTTTTTTAACCAATTTAATTACTTATATCTTTTAAATCACATATTATTTTTAAGATCTATTTACATTATTGTACTCTACATAAAATATGTGACAAAACAAGATCCATGTTGAATATATTCAAACACTTTATTAATTCAAAAGTAATTTATTTAAATTATAGATGTAGCTTAGCTATGCAGTAGAAGCAATTCTCTGTAGCATTAGAAGTAATTATATTATGACTGAGTTGAAATAAGAAACTTTGTAGAGTAAATTCACAAGCAAAGTGTAGAGAAGATTTTTAAGTAAATACATTTATGAAATTAAATTCAATAAAGGCTGAAAGTAATTACATAGATCTAAAAGTAACTTAGCACAAAACGGAAGTAAGTTGTTACAACATTAGAAGTAAATTCATTGTAGAGAGAAAAATATGGTTTATCTAAAATTTAAATTCAAATTTCACAAATTATAGAATTGACTAAAAACAATAATAAAAATAATCAACTTATAGCATTATTATGAATGTATAAGAAGTTAATCAAACCTAAAAGTAATATATATATATATATATATATATGTGATAAAAGTAACTTACGTATTTAATAAAAGTAATTTATAAACATAAATATTTTTCTATCGTAATATAATCATGTAAGATATTGTGGTAAAGTTTTAATTGCAACAAACACAATTATGTAATCGGATTGAAATCGAATAAGTAATTTGAGAGAAAATTTTATAAGAAGATTAAAAAAGATGTGCATGCCAAATAGCAAAAAAAAGAAGACCTGCATGTGTATTGTACTTCTCTCACATATGAGTGCCTCTAGTTAAGTCTAAACCAAGATGCTTCTCAAATTAGATTTTGCGTATTAATAATTAGTCACCCCATCAACATCAACAGCAGTAGAAGTATATAAAGAGATGCATGGCAAATGCAAATCTCGCACATTCTAGCAACACCATAGCTAGCGGCCATGGCACGTGCAGTGATGCTGTCACTGGTGGAGAAACCCTTTGTAGTCCCGGTTCGTAACCCCCCTTTAGTCCCGGTTTCCAAACCGGGAGTACCAATCCGGGACTAAAGATCGCTATCTTTAGTCCCGGGTGAAATAACCGGGAGTAAAGATCGATCTTTAGTCCCGGTTGGTGTTACCAACCGGGACTAAAGATCGAGCTGACCATTTTTTTTTTGCATGGCCCTGTTGCTGCATGGTTTATATATATATATATAGTTTATATATATATATATATATAAACCATGCATATATATGTTTCAATACATATATATGCATACATATATATATATGTATATATATATATATATTATATTATATTATATGTATATACATGCATAATATATATGTATTTATACACATATATATGTTATGCAAATTAATGCATATGTATATAGATATATATATATGACCAAAATATATTTACATTATAGAAAATGTGTACACATGCATATAGAAACATATGTAGTCATGTATTAATTACAATCCATTATATGTCCTAGCTAGCTAGCTATCATTTCGACGTAGTAGTACTCGCTGCTAGCTCAGAAGCTAAGGACCGGTGAATTGTGTTTCCGTCGTAGTAGAATTCACCCTTGGGATTAAGGATTTCTTCGTTGATGAATCCCATGAGTTGTTCTTGAACCGCCGTGATAAATTCCTTGTGTGTGGTCAGGTTATCCCTCATGCGAATAAACTATATGAATGTATGAAATTGATTAGTAATTAAACAAGAAATCGCTACGTAATGAAATTTTGAATTTATTTGTACGTACATCGAGCTCTCTTGTGGTGATGATTTGGTTTGCAAGGCAGTGGCAATACTCGCACACGTAATAGCCGCACAAGTTATTTCCCTGCTTTTGCTTTGCGCACTACAAATAAATGACAAACAACGAGAGATCTAATTAATATACACTTGTATGTATTTGAATCGGAGAAATATAAATATAGAGCATGTGTACTCACAGGAAATTTGAACTTCCGCCTAAGTCTTTCTCTCCATTTGCCGCGGACCAAATGACGGAACCGATACCAAGCCCTACATGGAGTTTAAAGCTATGATTCGTAGTAGCAATTAACATAACAAGATTTTCTTAATTAACAAAGGAACTTATGACGGTACCTGTCTATAAGTTCGAAAACCTTGTCAAACGTAGACTCTTTTTTATCCATTGAGTCATATACGTTGACGGTGCAGGCCTCCAGGTCGATGAGTAAAAGCACCCAGTGGAATCTGCAATGTGCGTGGGATGCATTACATATGAAACACTTAGCAAGTTCGTACGGGAATGAAATTTGGTATGTAGGAAGACAGTAAAATTAAACTAACTCTGTGTTGTATGGCAACAGTATGAACGTCTTGTAATGCTGCGCCTTCAGGAGATGGACGAGATTGTCCTCTGTTTCTTGTGGATATTGGTCGAGCATTGCGACGTTTACTCTCCGAGGGTCGATGAATCCAGTATCGAAAACCCTCCGCCGTCGGGCCCTTTGAATCTCCATTCTACAACGATAAAAGGGAGTATATTATTTTCTATAGTCTACTTATATACAAGGACCTAATTAATTAAAGGAGACGTATAGTAAGAAATCTAACCGAACGATATACTTACAAAATCCAGCAACTCATAATAGAGACGTCGAGGGCGTCCAGCTGGTATAGTTCGTAGATTCCCTTGAAATTGATCCAGAGAATGTCATCTCCTTGCAAGAAGTCCGTGTCCCTGATCCTCGCTCCGATCATCTCTCTACCGGCGGCGCTCATCTCCATGTACAGCTGATGGAACTTGTACATTTGTGTGGGTAGGGACTGCAGCAGCTCAGGCTTGACAAGCGGTTTACCGAGTTCGTACATGTATTTCACTTCCGCCTTTTCGATTGGTGCGACTCCTAGCAATTGATCCGTAGTTAGACCGGTGTCAGTAATAAATTGTTCTATCGTCATTTCTTTACCGGTAACCAACGGCTCGATCTCCTGTTTTGGTTGCTCTCCAAGCTGAGGGACTGGTTTGGACTTTCCAGAAGATGCTTTCTTCAGCGTTCGCTCATAGTCCGATAGCTTGATGGCCTCCTTGACAGATGCAGACATACCCCTGAAGAAGTTCCTGACACTGGGGTCTATAGGAATCTTCTTTTCTGGACTTCGAGGCTTGAATTGTCTCTTGACTTCTGATGCAACGTAAGCGTCAAGCTCCTCTTGCGTGCAATCGTACCCCGGGTCCTTGTTCTTGGCGGCGTCAACTTTCGCCTTCTTCGTTGCCCTTGTGTGGGCAGGCGGTGCAGCTGGGGGGGCCCTTGACTTTGAAGGTGCCGGAAGAGGAGCTTGCGGGGGAGTAGGTGTAGGAGCACGAGGAGGAGTCGGTGCAGGATCCTGAGGAGGAGTCGATGCTGGAGCCTGAGGTGGAGACGGTGCTGGCGGAGCATGAGGAGGAGACGGTGCAGGATCATGAGGAGGAGATGGCGGAGCCGGAGGAGATGGTGCACGAGACGCCGCTTGTCGCCCAGGGAGGATGATGTACCGCCTGCGCCATAGAATAATGGCATGGCTTGTGTCTCGTAGATGCGTCTCACCGTCTCCTCCAGGGTAATCCAGCTCGAGGTCCTCGTACGCGCCTTCGACCAACTCAACTTCGACCTTCGAGTATCCTGCTGGAATCGGCCTGCAGTGGTAAGTACCTGAAGGGTCCGTTGGGATGGCCATGCCCGACGCCACCTTCATGTTGTGAGAGATTATTTATTAGTAATCAACATATATAAGCAGGAACTAGCGGAATGGCTAAATCTTACCTTTATTGATAAGTTCTTGAAAGGAATATGCAGCTCACATGGTGTCCGCTGAGTGATGTCATCAACGGGACAGGTCGATTCGTCCTGTGTTTGCATGGCGTCCATGCTCTGCGATCCTACCTGCCCCGTTGAGGCGCAGCTGCTACGGTTTCCTGACGGGCTCACCATTGCAGGAGGAATGGTCGGCTGGGGATCATGGGACCGATGTGCGGCCATGCGTTCATCAACCTTCCTTGCCACCTCCTCTTGCATGTTGAGTTCGTAGCTCGATACCCGGAACTCTAGGTCTGCAATCTTCGCCTCGGTATCTC